ATCCGCCACCATATGTGGGAACTTGCTTCAACGTGGTAGAGCTTTTAAACGCAAGCAGCTACTCGCTTTCTTTTCAAGGCCTTTTTAGCCCACTTTTATTTAAATGAAAGTTCAAAACAGAAGTTTCCCACACAGGGGTATCCACCATCAAACAAAATTCAATGATTCAGCCTCCTGGCTTACACTCAGCTTGATGTCTGCCTCCTGCAGACTTCTTCAATAATTATGGCTCTTGCTCACAGCTGGCCACTAGCACACAGCTAGTCTCTAGCAGCCCCTTGCTGCTTTTGGCTTCCACCTCTCCTAGGCGAAGCCCACCTGACTCCTATCTGCCGGGGTGGAGCCCCAGAACCCTGGTCCTGACTCTCTCTAAAGGCCTGCACACACCTGTGCAATCAGTCTCCTGGCCATTCCCAAAACCTGGTCCCAGGATTGGAGATTTCATCCCTCCCAGATCTCTTTGAAATCTCCAGGCTCCAGATCCCAAAACAGACCTTACAAACAAAGGAGGAAAGTGAAAAGCCACTTTCCTCCGTATCAAACCTTTACCCTGGAGCCCCTCAACCTGCCTTGTTGAGAATCCAGGGTGACAGATCACCACACTGTCACAACATACATACACACAGTGGGGCAAAAAAAAGTATTTAGTCAGCCACCAATTGTGCAAGTTCTCCCACTTAAAAAGATGAGAGAGGCCTGTAATTGGCATTATAGGTAGACCTCAACTATGAGAGACAAAATGAGAAACAAAATCACATTGGCTGATTTGGAAAGAATTTATTTGCAAATTATGGTGGAAAATAAGTATTTGGTCACCTACAAACAAGCAAGATTTCTTGCTCTCACAGATCTGTACCTTCTTCTTTAAGAGGCTCCTCTGTCCTGCACTCATTACCTGTATCAATGGCACCTGTTTGAACTTGTTATCAGTATAAAAGACACCTGCCCACAACCTCAAACAGTCACACTCCAAACTCCACTATGGTGAAGATCAAAGAGCTGTCGAAGGACACCAGAAACAAAATTGTAGACCTGCACCAGGCTGGGAAGACTGAATCTGCAATAGGCAAGCAGCTTGGTGTGAACAAATCAACTGTGGGAGCAATAATTAGAAAATGGAAGACATACAAGACCACTGATAATCTCCCTCGATCTGGGGCTCCACGCAAGATCTCACCCCGTGGGGTCAAAATGATCACAAAAATGGTGAGCAAAAATCCCAGGACCACACGTGGGGACCTAGTGAATGACCTGCAGAGAGCTGGGACCAACGTAACAAAGGCTACCATCAGTAACACACTACGCCGCCAGGGACTCAGATCCTGCAGTGCTAGATGTGTCCCCCTGCTTAAGCCAGTACATGTCCGGGCCCATCTGAAGTTTGCTAGAGAGCATTTGGATGATCCAGAAGAGGATTGGGAGAATGCCATATGGTCAGATGAAACCAAAATAGAACTGTTTGGTATAAACACAACTCATCGTGTTTGGAGGAGAGAGAATGCTGAGTTGCATCCAAAGAACACCATACCTACTGTGAAGCATGGGGGTGGCAACATCATGCTTTGGGGCTGTTTCTCCGCAAAGGGACCAGGACGACTGATCCATGTACAGGACAGAATGAATGGGGCCATGTATCGTGAGATTTTGAGTGCAAACCTCCTTCCATCAGCAAGGGCATTGAAGATGAAATGTGGCTGGGTCTTCCAACATGACAATGATCCCAAACATACCGCCCTGGCAACGAAGGAGTGGCTTCGTAAGAAGCATTTGAAGGTCCTGGAGTGGCCTAGCCAGTCTCCATATCTCAACCCCATAGAAATCCTTTGGAGGGAGTTGAAAGTCTGTGTTGCCCAGCGACAGCCCCAAAACATCACTGCTCTAGAGGAGATCTGCATGGAGGAATGGGCCAACATACCAGCAACAGTGTGCGCCAACCTTGTGAAGACTTACAGGAAACGTTTGACCCTCTGTCATTGCCAACAAAGGATATATAACAAAGTATTGAGATGAACTTTTAATATTGTCCAAATACTTATTTTCCACCATAATTTGCAAATAAATTCTTTCCAAATCAGCCAATGTGATTGTCTGGATTTTTTTTCTCATTTTGCCTCTCATAGTTGAGGTCTACCTATGATGCCAATTACAGGCCTCTCTCATCTTTTTAAGTGGGAGAACTTGCACAATTGGTGGCTGACTAAATACTTTTTTGCCCCACTGTATATACAGTCAGGTCCATAAATATTGGGACATCGACACAATTCTTCTTTTTAAGAATGTTCCAAATAGTTGTTTTGGCCACGCCTAATGTTTTTGCTATCTCTCTGATGGGTTTGTTTTGTTTTTTCAGCCTAATGATGGCTTGCTTCACTGATAGTGACAGCTCTTTGGATCTCATCTTGAGAGTTGACAGCAACAGATTCCAAATGCAAATAGCACACTTGAAATGAACTCTGGACCTTTTATCTGCTCATTGTAATTGGGATAATGAGGGAATAACACACACCTGGCCATGGAACAGCTGAGATGCTAATCGTCCCATTACTTTTGGTCCCTTAAAAAGTGGGAGGCACAAAAGCAAACTGTTGTAATTCCTACACCGTTCACCTGATTTGGATGTAAATACCCTCAAATTAAAACTGACAGTCTGCAGTTAAAGCATATCTTGATCGTTTCATTTCAAATCCATTGTGGTGGTGTATAGAGCCAAAAATGTTAGAATTGTGTTGATGTCCCAATATTTATGGACCTGACTGTATAATGTTTTTTTTTTCTCCAGGACAACTCAGGTTGTGAAGCATTACTTCTATTTCACTAACACATTTATCATAAATCTGATTAAACTGTCTTTAAGTGTATGTAACCCTAAATATTTGTTTTTGTATGCGTAAGCTCACATATGTGTAACTTATAAATTATAGTCTCTATCATTTTTATGTGCATCATCAAAAGTAACTAGGTGATTCTGCCAGTCACTTTTCTTCCTTGTTCTAGACTGACCACACAAATCATAGCAGCTGATCTGTGTTAGCCTGGTCAGTTTGTATCCTTTGGCAAGTACAGTACACTGTGCAGACATACAGCATGCCTGTATTGAGTAGTTTGTTTAGCTGCCACACCCCCTGACCAATCAGAGCCTGCCTCTTGAGCTCGCCCCTGCTCAAGCACGGCCTTGCCTCAGGCTGAACAAACTAGGAATACAGGCACACTGCGTGTCTGCACAGTGTCATGTAAACCTGCCCCATTCTATCAGAAAAAGAGATGCATAGTCATGTTACAGAACTTTTTAACCTTGTAAAAAAGTTAAGAAAGATAATTTTTTAAACTACTCAAAAACAGCTATGGTACTTTTGTAGTTATTAACATTATTATAAAGGATTTATCTAGCGCCAACAATTTTCACAGTCTTTTACAGTATAAAGGGAGACAGTACAGTAATAATTCAATACAAGTGGATTGGGAGGGCCCTGCTCCTGAAAGCTAACAATCAAAAAGGGAAAGGCAAGTGAAAAAGGAATGAGCTGATGCGAGAAATAAGATTCAGTTGTTAGCTGAAGGCAGGATAGGCTTCCCTGAAGAGATTAATTTTCGGGGATCGTCTAAACGTGAACCCGAGCCGGAGATAGGCCGACTGATTGGGGTGGAGGGTTCCAGAGGAAGGGGAGGCTCTGGAGATGTCCTGAAGACAAGCATGGTAGGAGGAGACAAGAAAGCTAGAGAGCAGGAGTGACTTAGAGCAGAGCGGACATTGTGGGTGATATAGTGAGCCAGGTTGGTAATGTAGTTTGGGCAGAGTTGTAAATTACTTTGTATGTTGTTAGTATTTGGAGTTTTATTCATTGAGCTATTGGAAGTTATAGGGACTGGCAGAGAGAGGTAGTGGATGCTGTGCGGTTGATAAGGTACAGTGGATATAAAAAGTCTACACACCCCTGTTAAAATGTCAGGTTTTTGTGATGTAAAAAAAATGAGACAAAGATAAATCCTTTCACAACTTTTTCCACCTTTAATGTAATCTATAAACTGTACAACTCAGTTGAACAACAAACTGAAATCTTTTAGGTGGAGGGAAGTAAAAATAAAAAAACTAAAATAATATGGTTACATAAGTGTGCACACCCTTAAACTAATACTTTGTTGAACCACCTTTTGATGTGATTACAGCACTTAGTCTTTTTGGGTAGGAGTCTATTAGCATGGCACATCTTGACTTGGCAATATTTGCCCACTCTTTATTTATTTATTCCTTCATTCTGCAAAAAATTAAGATAAAGAGAGGATACTTTCCACTACCTAGATGTACACATATCAATTACACCATACTTACAATCATCCAAGCCATAGAGAAAAACTACCAACTTAATCATACTTTATGCTGGCCCTAAGAGAGGGGCCAGGGCTTCAAAGAACTTAATCGCAAGATGGATATGGTATGCAGGAAATCATTCTGAGCCCTAGACATGACACTACCTGAACGTATTGGAGCACATTCTACAAGTGTTTTGGCGGCTTCTCGGGGCAGATGTGCAGAGTGGCAACCCGGTCAAGCTTTGACATCTTTGATTGACACTACAGGGTGGATCTGCTCTCTAATCAAGACCAGTCTTTCAGCAGATAAGTACTTCAAGCAGTGCCCCTGTTCCCCCCACGCCACTCATAACCCTGTCCCCCCATCCCCAGTAGGCTTCTCGTTTAACCTGTCAAGTGCTGTCCTGTAAGATGATTAGTGAAAACCAAGTTAGTTACCTGGTAACATTATATACAAGAATCTTCCAAGACAGGAGGTCATTTCAGCCCATGAAGTGCTGTCATGGAAGATTCTTGGAACTGAAGTTACCAGGTAACTTTCTTTTTTGGATTTTTTTTTTTTTTTTTTTTTTTCTTTTTGTTAATTATTTTTACACATTTACTTAGATATCCGAACTACACATCTTCATTCATGCAAAATAATTACAATATTTTTTTCTGCTTTTTTTTTTTCCTCTGTTCATACTTGTAAGGCAGAAAAAGACAAGGAACTTGAAGGATTTGTGCCAATTCCTGTGAATGAAGCAGAGATACAACAGATTATCCAGGGTGTGGTTGATAATGTTCATTGGCAGATGTTACTTGACAGAAAGACAACAGCACTTAAACAGCTCCAAGGCCACATGTGGAGAGCCGCATATGCTTCTGGGCAAGTCAAAGGAGAGTAAGTATTTTGTACATTGTATTTTTTTAATGATTTTTTTTTTTTTATATAGACTTGGCTTTCTTTACTGCATTATGGTCTATCAGAAGAAAAGGCGAATGAGTTTGGACAAACATTATTGTAAATGCAGTGATTGTTCAAGCTATATTAAACCATTGAGTGGACTTTTGCCATATTATGCAAGTATGCACCACATACTTACCTTATAAATGTGTTCTTTTGTAGTGCTGTGCAATGCAGACTCTGTACCCTGCTGCTTCCATCTCTACTGCTGCTAACTTCCAATATCCTCTTTAGCCATGGGGGGGAAGTTGGGGACTGATGATTCTCGGAACATTGGCCATCTGTAAAATGCTGGAAATGTGTTGAGAGTGTACAGTGTACTCAGAATTTTGTTTTGTTAAAACAGACTTTGTATGTCTCGTTTGTCAAAAATCAATACCTCCTAGCAGTTTTTTTTTTTTTTTTAAGAGCTTAATTCCTCTTTAATATTTTGTCTTAATTTTTATTGATTAGAAAAATGCAGCTATCAACTTTGTTGTGTAAATAACATACTATAGCTATTAGGGATTTATTTCTTTCCAATAGACATGAGAGAAATAATTGAGTTTCTCAAGGGCTTGTTCAATATGCAAGGACAAGGCAAATAGCTTTATTTTCTATAGTCCAAGGAAAGATAGGGGTCAGGTGCTGGGCAGATCCTTAGCCTGTAATGAGAAATGATCAGATATGACTAATGGCTTGAATTTAGAGGCTCTCCAGGAGAGTGAGGGCAAACACAGGGATCTCGCATATTGAGAAGTCTATGTGAAAAAGAGAGTGCACCAAATGATTACATTTCCAATTGCAGTACAAACTCAAGATCAATGCATACAGCCTTATTTTCAGTGGAGTCAATGCACTGAAAAAATAGGACAGATTGCCCTTTTGTGCAATGTGCTGTAAACATACTGTAATGCGTTGGCCAAGCTACAGTGCAAAAAAGCAGGTAAAATAAACACATGGGAATGCAAGTAAGCAAGGTATTCCAGCACAATACAAGGTCTGTAAGTACAATTAGGTAATCTAAATACTTTATATTTTGTTTTTTGGTACATTAACTTAGAATATAAAGGCGTTCATACATGATACCTGAATTAAAATTAGTTTTGAAAGTGAATTGCTGTCTACATTTTGATGTGCTAAGTGAAAACATTTTACATTTTTCCCTAGGGTTTATGCTGATGTTGCTCCAGCACTGAGAAAGTGGAAGGAAGCAGGCATAAAACTTTACATATTTTCCAGTGGTAGTATTGAAGCTCAGAAACTGTTGTTTGGATACTCAATTGAAGGTGCCCTGCTTGAGGTACTTTTATTTTGGATGCTATCATTCTATTTGTTCTAGCTTGTGTTTTTGTTAAGTATTTGTAAGACCATATGATAACTTTCAGTTTTAAACAAAGCAAAATATGTTTTTCTACATCAGGTATGCTGTTTTTGGTATGCACGTAGCCTTTTCGCCCCTTCCTTGCAGCTCTCAGCCATTTTAAGATGTTAAGTGGACCTTAACACATAAAGTAAAGATTTGCTATCACATTTCCTGTGCCTTAGCATTTCTCACACTGCTGTTAGTTTCACAACATTTGTAGTGAAGAAAAAGCAAAGTAGTGGGACTTTGGCTACCCCTCCAATGGCCAAAAATGCACATGACACATTTATTAAAATAATTTTTACATAACTTTAATCCAATGATTTACAAAAAACATTGTTTTTTCATTAAGAGCATTTATAAAATGGGCCCTTTGGTTTCTACTACTTGTCTTCCACGTGTAATAGTGGAGGGACTGTAGCACAGAGGTCCTCAGAGATCCTTGTATGTAGGTCGACATGTTTTCGGGATGAGCCGCTTCCTCAGGACCTTTGATCTCAGAAATATAGGTACAGTAAATATATAAATTAACCAAACACTCCATCTGTTAGAGGCACAATAACCCTCAATAATATAACTGTATGTATGTGTGTATATATATATATATATATATATATATATATATGCAAGTATATTTTTTATATATATATATATATATATATTAAAAGATTACAAAAGATTACATATAATTATTTATTTATTATTTATTTTTCCTTTCTCTTTCTTCCTTCCTTTGGGATTAGACAAGTTATCTAGTGAGGGTTATTGTGTCTCTAACACATGGAATGTTTGGTTAATTTATATATATTTTTATATTATTCTAGTGATTACTGTACCTATATTTTTGAGATCTAAGGTTCTGAGGAAGCGGGTCATCCCACAAAACGTGTCGACCTACATACAAAGATCTCTGAGGACCTCAGTGCTACAGCCCCTCCACTATTACATGTGGAAGACAAGTGGTAGAACCAAAGGTCCCATTCTACAAATGCTCTTAATTAAAACAATTTATTTTTTAAAATCATTGGAAGAAATGTAAAAATTATTTTAATAAATGTGTTATGTGCATATTTCACCATTGGAGACATATTTAAAATTTCACTACTTTTGCTTTTTCTTCTGTAATGTTTTTGATAAGGATAACACCCTCCAATCACTTAACCCACAAGTAGCACCACCTTCCTAGATATGTATTGGTTTTTACAACATTTGTAGTGAGAATTGGTAATGTCGCTACTGTGCTGCTCATCTCTCTTGTTGGAAAGGTGTACCCAAGGACCTACATTGTGAAGGCCTCCTTGCTTCATTTAATGTGTGGATCTGTACTTTTCTGCACCTTACCTATGGCTTCTAGAATATTTTCACACCAGTCTTTAGATCACAGTATTTCTAAACCTTCAAGCATTATTAATGACTAAAACAAAGGAAAAAGCCAGCACCCTAGTAAATCAGCATAAATGGATAGACTTTATTGTAAAACAGTAAGATACAGCCGAGTGAACACCCAACGTGTTTTGACTGTTAGGCCCTAATCATGGCTACTTCAAGAAGGTCACACATTTAAATTCTAAATCAACAATCACATTATCATAATAGAGTCAAATGAATATCCAAAGGAGGGGCTATAAACAACGAACATAAGGGAAATATAAAAATGTTATAACAAACACAATACATGTCTATATATACACTGCTCAAAAAAACATTAAAGGAATACTTTGAAAACATATCAGATCTCAATGGGGAAAAATATCTTGCTGGATATCTATACTGATATGGACTGGGTAATGTGTTAGGAACGTAAGGAATCCCCATCGTTTGATGGAAATGACTATTATCAACCGACAGAGGACTGAATTCAAAGATACCACCTGAAAATCAAAGTGAAAAAATTATGCAGGCTAGTCCATTTTGCTGAAATTTAATTGCAGCAACTCAAAATGGTACTCAGTAGTTTATATGGCCCTCATGTGCTTGTATGCATGCCTGACAATGTTGGGGCATGCTGCTAATGAGACGACGGATGTGTCCTGGGGTATTTGTCCCAGATCTGGACAGGGCATCACTGAGCTCCTGGACAGTCTGAGGTGCAACCTGGCAACATTGGATGGACCGAAACATGATATTCCAGAGGTGTTCTATTGGATTTAGGTCAGATGAGCGTGGGGGCCATCCAATGGTATCAATTCCTTCATCCTCCAGGAACTACCTGCATACTCTCGCCACATGAACCCAAGCATTGTAGTGCATCAGGAGGAACCCAGGACCCACTGCACCAGGATCTGACAATGGGTTAATACCTACTGGCAGTCAGGGTGCCATTATCTAGCCTGTAGAGATCTGTGCATCCCTCCATGGATATGCCTCCCCAGAAAATAACTGACCAATCACCAAAACAGTCATGCTGAACGATGTTACAGGCAGCATAGTGTTCTCCACGGCTTCTCCAGACCCTTTCACATCTGTCACATGTGGTCAGGGTGAACCTGCTCTCATCTGTGAAAAGCACAGGATGCAGTGGTGGACCTGCCAATTCTGGTGTTCAATGGCAAATGACAATCAATCTCTATGGTGCCGGGCAGTGAGCACAGGGCCCACTAGAGGACTTTGGGCCCTCATGAAGTCTGTTTCTGATTGTTTGGTCAGAGACATTCACACCATTGGCCTGCTGGAGTTCATTTTGTAGGGCTCTGGCAGTGCTCATTCTGTTCCTCCTTCCACAAAGGAGCATACACTGATGGGTTAAGGCAGGGCTTGAAAATTTTTCTTTGAATCTAGAAACCAGCTAAAAAAAAGTTAGGAGCCAGTTTTTTTTTTGTTTTTTTTAGCGTAGCATGGGTTGTCAACACAATGTTACACAATGTGATTTGCCACGCAACAATTGCGGCAAAACTGCACCACGTTTTAGTCACCACTGCAAATAATGGCACCTGAACCTGTGATCCACACGCATTGTGTTTTTGAGTGCCATTATGAAAAGGGTCCTGTTTGAGTTTGTGGCGGTGCGTTCCAGACTCGCAAGTGATAGAGTAAGTGGCATGCAGAGATAAGTGTACACATAGGATTGCTATTGACAGGAGTTTTCCCATAGAAGTCAATGGGAGGCGGTTTCCCATAGAAGTCAATGGGAGGCGGTTTCCCATGGAAGTCAATGGGAGGCGGTTTCCCATGGAAGTCAATGGGAGGCGGTTTCCCATGGAAGTCAATGGGAGGCGGTTTCCCATGGAAGTCAATGGGAGGCGGTTTCCCATGGAAGTCAATGGGAGGCGGTTTCCCATGGAAGTCAATGGGAGGCGGTTTCCCATGGAAGTCAATGGGAGGCGGTTTCCCATGGAAGTCAATGGGAGGCGGTTTCCCATGGAAGTCAATGGGAGGCGGTTTCCCATGGAAGTCTATGTGAGGCGCGACTTCCCATGCAAGTCTATGAGAGGCGCGACTTCCCATGGAAGTCTATGTGAGGCGCGACTTCCCATGGAAGTCTATGTGAGGCGCGACTTCCCATGGAAGGCTGTGGGGTCGTGTTGGTATTACTGAACATTACCATGACAATATTAATGTTAATACTAAAAATATTTCCATCAAATCATTTTACGGAGGTGTATAGGGGAAATACTGTATGTCTTCCCATTTTGTGGTATAGACAGAGTTCTGCCTAGTGCTAGGGATTCAGACAGACATAGCAGGTTATTGGAATGAATAGTTTTTTGGATCTATAAATTGCAGACCTGCATCCCTTATGGAATCAACAATAAGTGAGGGTCTGTATTTGAGATAGCTCTTCTTTATCTCCCCTTTGTTCCTCCGTTTCACTTATTTTTTAAAATTTTTGGATCACAATTTTCTTTTAGTCCAGGGTAGGGTTTCCATTTACTATGTTTGTTTGTTTTGATATTAGGGATCTGTTTTTGTGTATGTATAAAGTGACATGTATTATGTTTGTTATAATGTTTTTATATTTCCCTTATGTTCTTTACTTATAGCCCCGCCTCCTTCTGATGATCATGTGACTCTATTAACATCATGTGATTGTTTTAATTATTTCAACATATGTGACCTTCTTGTAGAAGCCATGATTAAGGCCTAATGTTATGATCCGCCAGGTGGTGCCTCAGGCTGCCAACTGACAGACCTACTCAGAGCGTGGGGTCTAAGCCCGGGCTGTGCTTTCACCAGAGCCCCTGATGGTGGGGATGGACTTGAAACAGTCCCGGGCCAGGTCACGACCTCCGAGCAGGCCCGCCAGTGGCTGAGGAGACCCTTGGGGACAGGTACCGGGAGAGCCAGATATGAAGAGGATGGCGGCCCCAGCAGGGTAGTAACGGATCGTGGGCCCGTGAGGGTAAGCGGGGTACAGAATCGGTAGGCGAGAGTAGTCGGGTCACACGCAGGGTCAGCAGGGAAGTCAATCCGTAGAATGGTCAGGGCAATCCGGGTCAAACGCAGGAGCAGGCAGAATAGTCAGGGCAATCCGGGTCAAACGCAGGAGCAGGCAGAATAGTCAGGACAATCCGGGTCAAACGCAGGAGCAGGCAGAATAGTCAGGGTCAATCAGGGTCACAAGATAGGTGCAGGAACTCAGGATCACAGAAGACCTTGCGGCAATCTGTGACAGTGCAGGGCATCTTTAAATAGTGCGCCCTGCACTGTCATTGGCCGGCTAGGACGCGCCCCCCCGGCTGTCATTGGACGCCTGAGGCGCGCCCGCGGCTCCTACTGCGCATGCGCGGCGTCCTGTCAGCCGCGGCTCGCCGGGACCTAGTGCCTGTGTCCCGGCGCGATCCGCCGCCACAGCGCATGCGCGAGGGACGGAGCCGCGATCGCGGACCCTGGAGCCGTGGTCCCTGACATTGCCCCCCCCCCAATGGGCACCCTCCGGGAGCCCCACTGATCTCTCCACCGCGGGTGAGCACGAAAAAAACTCCCGGATGAGCCTGGGC